CTAATACAACCCTATTTCACGATCTGCGCCACCTCTCTCTGTACCTCATTGTGTACTAGTCACCTTTCGCATCACTAGAGCCGCTAGTATCGGGAAAAATCGTGTCTTGGGGATAATAGAAGAGTGAACCATATTGTTAATTTATAATATTTGGTTAAAGTGACTCTAATAAAAAAAAAAAAACTAATTTATATCAATTTAAGGTGATACTCTTAGGAAGCCTTAGCGTGAATATTCAAAAGCACAAATGTCAGTTTCCACAAAACATACAATAGGGTATCCGCACCGGTATTGGTCATGTTCCTATTTTGGCCACCTTTTGACGATATTTCACGTTTTTAACAATTTTGTGGTGTTCAGTTGCGTTCAATTTGTTGGGACATTATTGTAACGGGTATCCACGAAACAATGATAATGAAAAGGATAAGTTGGCAAAAAAAAACACCGGTGAAGTTTAGTTCAAACTGATTTATTTCATACATACAAAGGGTTAACTTAAGTCTTCATACTGACCTTAGTCAATATTGACATACCCAAGTAGCATTTCTTGTTTTGTTGCACTCTATTAGTGGTTTTTGAGATCAATTGTATAAAACCGTCAATAAAATTAATAGCTCCAGCACAACCTTTTGATAACCGCTATAAGATCGTCTTACAGCTTAGTGGACCACTCTTGATAAGGTTTATAAAGCATGTTTGAGAATCACAATAAAGCTGTCTTAAAACCTTTTGTTAGAAAGCCTCATACTCTACAAAAGGTTCTCATAGCCTCTTTAAGAGTAATATTGTATTCAAGCAGTTTTATTACGCTTTGGTAAAAATCAGTTATAAATCCAATTTAATTTTTATTTGCTTCAAAGCAACCGTCATAAATTAGCTTGTTGTTGTTCGGTTCTGCTGTAACTTTTTTTTCCATATGGAAATCTTTAGCGGTAAAAATAGGTTTGAGTGTTGGTGTCAAGATCACCATGCAATCAATTTTGTTTCATGGCGACATTAGTGAAAATTTTATTACTTTTTAGAAGTTCCAAAACATATGTGTTTGAAATTTTATCGTGTATATTAGGATAATATGAGCGTTAAATAAATGCACCTCCAAAATAATTCAAGTTAACAAAAAAGATTATTTCAGAAATCAAATGAATTTGATGGAATCATCTTAATTTTACAGAAAATAGATCTCAATACATGAATTCATACCAATGCACACTGGAAATCATTTCGGATCTCTAATTTAGTAATTATTTTATTGAAATTTCTTGGATTTTATTCCAAGGCTAATGGCATTTTCATAATGACAATACGGCGACAGAGAACAGCAGGCAAGAAAAACACCTAGCGTAATTTCTTAAAATGTCTAATGCTTACATTGCACACTGGGTCAGGAATGCAACCTAGCGGAGCAAAATTAATAACTCCGAAACGAAGCATTTCCGCGACTTGTTGTCTTCGGCAAAATTTCTTATCATAATAAGGACCATCCCTTCCCCAAAGATGGCACCAAATAATATGAAGAAATATTAAAAAAACACACCAAAATATACCTCTCTCAAATTTTGATATTTTTTTTATTGAGTATTGCTTAATTTTTGCTGAAAATGTCAGGTTGCGATTTTTTGCGCTTTGGGAGATATTAAAGATCAAAAATTGTGTTTTTTTTCGTTTTTTGAACAATATCTTTGAAATTGGACGCTTAACTCAGTATGTTTCTTCACAAAAGTTATTTCTTTTATGTATTTGCATACGAGAAAAATACAACATTATATGGTTGTAAGCAAAAAAAAAAAACCGAAACAGAAAGAGAAAACCATATTTTCGACATTTTTTTTAAGTCCATTTAACTTGGAACCAGTAGACTGTGGAAATTTTACGTTTTTGAAAGAGCTGTTCATTTTGTCAAGATAAACAACTTTTCCGAAGACATCAAGTCTCCAAAACGTCAGAGAAAGAAGTAATATTGTGGCACCATCTTTGCGGAAGAATTTTGAGCTATTTGTTTATGTCAATAGATGGTCCTTATTATGATGAGAAATTTTGCCGAAGACACCAAGTCGCGGAAATGCTTCGTTTCGGAGTTATTAATTTTGCTCCGCTAGGTTTCATTCCTGGCCCAGTGTGCATTGGATGAAAGCAGAACAGAAACGCATAATGCATGATTTTATTACGAGCACTATTTTCTTTAAACAAGAGTCATTCATTTTTTTATTTGAGGGCAAATGTATATTCCTATTCTACGAGTGCAACCGATGAATTTTACAAACATTTGGAAAAGTTTTGAATGGTACATTAACCTTTATGAAAAGTTATGCGTGATTTCAACTTTTTTGTCCTAGAACTGTCACCATTCCATGTATTTCGACCAAGATTCGATAGTGTCACCCCATGTATCCAGCTTTCCATGCTCGGTAATGGCGGCCTGTTTGTATGAATAAATATATCCTTCACTGTGCTATCTGGAGGTTCTGATTTTGACCCCTCCCTTTCCCTCTCCCAGGAACAGAAGAAAATGAAACAACATACGCCCTCCAGTTAGCGTCGAAAAGCACAGTGAAGGATACATTTATTGATACAAACAGGCCGCCATTACCGAGCATGGAAAGCTGGATAGGCGAGCGAGAACGGAAGAATTATAGAGATTGCTGACGTTTTTCTTACGCACACTACGTCGCGTATACGTATATAGGAAATGTTTTCATGCTCATGCTAACAATTTTGTTGATTTTCTTTGCGCTCCGCTTGGAAGTACCTGAAAGTTTTGATTCTCTTCTATGTTGTAAAAATAAACCGCCTATTTACACTTCTGACAAGTTGCAACTGAAAGCTTATAGTTATTTTAAAATAACTGTTTCATGACCAACTAGTTTTATTGCGCTTACTGATATAGCAATATAAGGATTTATTTTTGGGTTTTATAAGGGCAATTCATATTGCTTTGTTTTATACTTCAAGGCAATCATAAAACCTTTAATAAGTGAAAATAGCATAAGCATCAGTTGGTTTTTTTATAAGCTTTATAGGGGTTTTGTAGATAGCTATAAAATGTTCCATGACTTGCATTGTATATGACCGTCATAAAGCTGTAGGTAATGGTATAAACCTAGGGTAATGGATAAAACCTTTATAAATTTTGAATATAGCCAAGCAGCTCTAGATTTGTTACTTGTGATACGGTCCCTGGTCCGCCGTGCAGCGTAGCTTAGTCATGATATTGGAACATGACCGTGGGACGGCTGCCGCATTGATTTTCCCGATGCAGCTTTTGATCTTGTTGGTGAGTTGCTTGGTTTCCTTGGACTTTAAATTATCCTTGTATGCCATGGAGCTCAATAGACCTAAAAAATCTTCGATAGGACGGCACTGCGGCAGATTGGTCGGATTCCGGTTTTTTGGTACATACAGTCTTTTGTCACACAGCGGCATTGGGGTCTCTCGGTTTGGATTTTCTCGTCAGTGTACTCTGAGGATCTGGTTTTCTTTCTACACACTATTCTCTCCTTCGTTAGAGTCTTGCAGATGTGTGACTTCGGACAACGGAACTTTCTGGTCGCTTCCCGTTGACTTACCGAATCCTTGTTGTTGAACATGTTGTGCAGCGAGCGAGTTTTCTTGTTCATTGTCTTCGTTGGTCGGCCGCTACCTCGCTTCAGAGTTACTGCCTTGGATGCCAGGATTCGGCATATGGTGGGTTCTGGAACATTTTCCCACTTAAAATGGTCCACCGTGTTATTTTTCTACGATCTTCGTTCGCTTGAAAGAATTGTACAATGCGCGCATGCGCAATTATTCCTGATTCGACGACATGCTGAACAAGACTAAACATGATATGTGGACCGTACACGATTGCTTTTATTGACAATAATCGTATTGTCAATACATTCAATATTGACGTCAATACATCGGTATTGACAATATTTCTGTATTCACATCATCGATATTAATGTCAATAATTCCCCTTCGCGTCAATATATTGGTACGTGTGGGGTTTGCTATAGAGTGAAATAAAGTGTGTGAAAATTTTCTGGAGGGTGTAAGGATTCATTCAACTAAAGTGACATTTTACTGCGAACGTTTTTGTTCTGTTTGAAAAATATTGGAATCATTCTAATTTTTTAGTGGGCACTCGTACATCAAATATTTAGGGTTTATAATTTTTTTTATTGGATTTCGTTTGAAAAGAAGTCGGAGTCAGTAATTTTCAAATCGAAGGATTTGGAATCGGAGTTCTGGGACATCCGTAATAAATAGAAGACCCGTATCTCCCATAAAAATTTTTGGACTACCACATCGAAACCATACAACATCATCACAATTTACTACTACCACAAGCAAAATTGCCATTTCGCACACATTCGACTACCACCATCAACCAATAATTTAGGTGAGCATCTCTCGCGTTTGCGCAAATATTTTCTTCCACTTCATTTCATCAGTACCGTACGTAAACAAACGGAGAGCCAACATTGTGGGCCATATACAACTGTATTTGCACGTGTTGAAGTGTAAATGCACTTGTTGGATGCACGTGCAGTTTGCAGGGCATGATTATTAAGAATATCTCAACAATTTGAGACGTATGGAAAGGTAAAGAAATTCGGAAGTCATCTTTGTTAGACGCATTCCATTCTTTGTTCAAACTCGTTCGAAAAAGTGAGATAATGTCCTCATAAAAAATACCACATACAGCACTTTTATCAGCTTGGCCTCCATAATCAATATTCTCTTGCCATGGCTGCAATCAGTGTTTGTAAACTCATCCGCTCCACTGGCTTGCCGTCAGAGAGAAGTATCACAACAACAAAAACCGTCAGAGTAAGCGCTGAGAGAGATACGTACATATACCTACCAACATATGAATCAAACTGAACTCGGCCCTGAATATTGTCATCGACAAACGCTACCCAGAAGGAGAGTAGATATTTTCTCTGTAATAACCGTATCGGACGATGAAGAGTTTCTGAATAATTAAACGAGGAAAAATACGAAAAAAGTTCCAAAAGACCGAGAACTCCGAAGCAGAAAATCACACGTTTTAGACACGATTGTTGATGACTTAGTACCACTGCGCCTTAAATGTTGGTTATTGTTATCCATACAGTGTGCAGCTGAGAATTTTCCCAGTGATTTGGTGTAGTGGTTGAATTTTTCATTCGGATTGGACACGGAGAAGGTAGGTAACAATCGGTTTGGATTGTAAGGTTCGTCGGCAGAAAATATATAAAAATTGTAAACGGAAGGATTGTGCGTAGAAAGTGTAAGGTTTAGTTTGTGAAACATTTAGAAACATCTTGTGAGTGATAAGAGTGTTGTGACCTGTCTCCTAGCTTGAATCTATCAAAGTTTAATCGATACACAGTGTCACCACAATGTCTGGGACAGTTGTAAGAATAGCCACTGGCCTTGATTTTAAAAGTGTTCTTGAAGGTTATCAAGAATTATCAATTCATCAATCAATATTACGTCAGTTCGAAAACATTGGAAATCAAGTAACGCTGATTGCATCGTAAAAGTCTTAATACATCTATGTTTATACAAAGCATCAAGAAAGGTACCCACTCTGATGTGTTCTCCATGGAGCAAAAGTGAAACTGCACTGTGAAATTATCTAATTTACTCTGGATTGGATAAACATTTACATGAAAACCGCTAATGGGCATCCCATGGCTTCATTCAGAAGAAGAAAGTTTATCTCCGATTACGAGTTCACACGATGCCAATTAGCAAATGACATACAGCATCCGCATAAATAAAGTGATGCGAACGAAATGGAGCGAGTGCCACACAAAGCGAGAAATTCGTCACCGCGAGATTTGGCAATTTTTCTCTGAGATGGTGTGCCGGAAATTTTTGCTTCAAGCTTGATGAAATATATATACACTCAACCACGTGCTAGTGTTACATATAAAAACACACCATAATAGGATCGTATAACCACAACTAGAACAGCTACCTTATGTATATACGTACAAGCACAGAAGTGAGAGTGGATGAGATAGGAGACTGCTAATAAGGAAAGATTAGGCTGAAAAGTGTTTAGCACTTGAGCACGCCTTGTGTAAATAGGTCTCGCGTGGGCGTAAAAGTAGGGTAGAATCAATGAAAATGATCTTGGTCATGTTGTGCACATAGTTGTAATTATGTACAATTTGCATTAACGCAAGTAGGGCTAAGATCTAATTTCCGTCATACTAAGCAGAACCTGCACGGGTTTGAGCAAAAATGGAATGTAACCCTTTATGTTCCTCGTTGGTTACTTTTACTCTTTGAGTAATATAATAATTCTGGAGGGGATCAAGCTATTTTTTTGCCTTTTAGATATTTTTTCAAGACTTCAGATTGATCAAGTATTGTTCTGAAGATCTGGTTGATCAGATATCGTCATGTGAATTGTTTGTATGGAGGCAGATCATACATTTCAATAAAAACCTTTGGATAATTTTTCAAGACATCAGGTTGATGATGTTTATTCTGACGATCTGTTCAACAATTTCAAATGACGTCACTCAGATATTCTTCCAATGCGGCAGGATCATTAGAAAATATTCAAAAGGTATATCAATGATTTCAGTATTGTGAATATTCAGGTCGATCACGCTTTATCCTAAAAAAAGATTTTGGTTACATTATCCATAGACAAAAGTTTCAAAAGGTGCTAAAAATGTAAATTCAAAATCTTCATTTATTTAGCAAAAATCTCCACATGCCAGCTTAAAATTCAATAAGCTTTCGGAAATTATTTTCAATTCAACATGTCTTCAAACATGTATGTATGTAAGGTAGCTACCGATCTGAATTCACAACATCGTTGTATAAAGGACCAAAAATGGAGGGGTCAACCCGTAAGCAGAGACACTTACGCGAAATCCACGGGAATTTAAGAATCTCCTTCCAACGATACGATCCAACAAACTTCAACATGTATTCAGACATCGTCACAAAACATGAAATGTCTTCAAAATATCTGCGGGAAAAAAGGTCTTCAATTTGAGGATATGTCTTCAAATCTGTCGTCCTTGCTCGTAAAAGCAAACATAAAAGGGAGAATTTTCCATTTAACTTCACTTAAATTTCCACTTATGTCGTTTAATATGTCATATGGCTTTTCAAAAACACACATATTTAATTTGAGTATATCCGCTATGTTGTAATCATTAAGATTTAAATTAGATAAACACAATTTTGGTGCAATGTAGTGAGCTGATAACTGTCGATTCCAACTTCACCCAATGTAGTGTATTTCAATTGGACAGCATTCATGCACTGGCTACTACTTTTCTAAGTCTACTTATATTTTCAAAATCAATTTCAACTCATTCTTGCCTGCAACTAGCTCTACCACCCTAATGGTCTATATACTAAACCACATCATTTGCAGATCACCGGTGGTGGCGAATTAGCGCACGAAATACAACAGCAGTCGCACGGTCACATCCACATGTTCACTGTGTGACGGCAGAGAGAGTTCATAGATTTGCACGCCGTTGATCTTCCTTCTAGCTAGTGCGGACGCCGTGAAACGTGTGCGCAATCATCAGTCTTACTTTACAGCTCTCTCTCTGCCAAGGTACCTAGTTGTGATTAGTTCCTCCAGCTGTAGACGAAGGCTCACCGGCAGCGTTGATCATCAGTATTACTTGTGGATTTTGTGCAGAAGGCTTGTCTAGTTAAATTTGCAATCATGGTGAGTGATACTCTGAAACTACCTTCAACCCAACTTCATTGATTCACGATGACATGAGATTGAGAATTCGATCAAGTGAGATTATGTAATTATGATAGAATTATGAGAGCTTAGAGTTATTTTTATGGGTGGTACAAAGATGATACATTGTTATGATTAATCGTAAAAGTAAACAAAATATGGGTAGCTTACTGTCGAAATAAATCGACGAAAATGTCCCTTTCGCCAACCTTGAACCTTGTATTTAGGGCCACCGGCAGTGAACCAACAGTAAGTGTTTGTGATTCGCAGTGCTACTGCCAAATAGGTCTGTTACATGTTCTAAAAATAAGATTCAAGAATATCGGACCATTGTCGTGTGAATGAACAAATACGTACGCTTTCTGGTTGTTTGTCAAACCTGGGTAGCGGGCATGTGATGTAGTGCTGTATGTAACTACGGTTGTGAATGCGAGAAGAAAATTGAACGGATAGATGGTTCTCGTCAAGATGTTATGCCGTCCCTTTGTGGGTCAGAGCAATTTTTCACGGTCGGTGATGCGAAAATAATTTTCACACCGTCAACAACGTTGGGATAGAAGCCGTTGGAAATGGATGAGAACCAGTGTGTTGAGGTTGTGATAAAAACGGGATATTTTTGGTTGCCGTTTACATTACAAAGTAGGAGGATGGTAGCAATTTGCCAGCACATAAAAACTTAAACTTTGTTGAAACAATATCTGTTTAGTCGTAGTCGTTTTGAAAATTTTATGATTTCAAAGATGATTATTTGAACATCTGCGACTCTTTGTTTATTTAACTGCTTAACCGATCAGTAAACTAATAATACCATTTGTTTTGGGCCGCTCCGTTTGCAACGGTTGAAGCCAAACGTAATAGAGTTTATTACCAACGATGTAAACCGCTCAGCTTGTATGAAGTTTTTTTCCCCAAAAATTGTCACATGAATGTTGACGAAAAATTAACAAAATATTGACTTCAGCGATTGCTGATTGATTGATGTGATTACTACATGAGTTTGGGTCAATTTTACATCAGACGATGTAATTTTTTTTTTTTTTTTTTTGTTAATTACTTTATTTGTACACGGCTCAATCGAATAAACTTTACAGAGCCAAGTTATCATTTTCTTTATACATTATAAATGTCTTAAATCTAAAATTAAAGGATTGGAACCGATTACTCGCGGTCTTCTCGAGGTTAGTGGATGACAATTGTTTGGATTGGGAGAGGGAAAAGGAGATTTGGAATATGATTTATGATTAAAAAATGACACTATTTCTAAAACATATACTTAATCCTATCGACGTTATATCAACTCTGTAATTATACAATTATTACACAAACAAATCTACAAAATAAAAAAAATAAAAAAAAAAAAAAACACACACGCATACAAAACACAAACTAAACACAAGGTTAATCAAACTTACAATCTATGGTTAATATTCTTCAAGAAAACATATATGAGTTGCATAAACTCCAGATCGCGTCTAGCCAAAATATCCCGAACTGGAACATTAGGTTGTCTACCTCGAGCCCGAAGGGAATCGTACAACTCGGATCTGACTCCACGGTGCTCAGCACATTACCAAATAATGTGATCTGCGTCCTGGTAACCTTGTCCACATTCACAGAGATTACTGTCCCCCAGCTCAACACGGAACAAGTGAGCGTTTAACGAGTAGTGATTGGACATGAGGCGAGACATCATACGAATGAAGTCTCGACCCACATCCAACCCCTTGAACCAAGGACACTTCGACACCTTAGGGATGATTGAATATAACCATCGTCCCAAACTCCCTTCACTCCATTTATTTTGCCAGCTGGCGAGTGACTGTTGACGATAAATGAAGAAAAATTCGTCGTAGGCGATTTGTCGATCGTAAATATCGCCTTCCATAGCGCCCACCTTTGCAAGCGAGTGCGCCTTCTCATTGCCCGGAATCGAGCAATGAGATGGGACCCATGCAAAGGTGATGACAAAAGATCTTAAAGATAAAGCACTTAGAAGCTCTCATATTTTCATGAGAAAATACGAGGAGTGCTTTACCGGCCTCATGGAGCGAATAGCCTCGACAGAACTGAGACTATCCGTAAAAATAAAATAATGATCTGGTGCAAGTGAGGCGATCGTTTCTAGCGTATAATGTATTGCCGCCAGTTCAGCAACATATACGGAACAAGGAGCATGAAGCATTCGAGAGGCGCTATGAAATTCGTTATAAATACCAAAACCTGCGGACGCCTCTATTAGTGATCCATCTGTGAAGAACGATCTTGCGGAATCAACTTGGCCAAACTTTGCAGCGAAAATTGACGGAGCAATCATGGAACGATGATGCTCTGGGATTCCGCGAATCTCTTGCGTCATGGATAAATCAAAATGAACAGAACTGTCGAAGTCGGAGAAGCAAACACGATAGGGATTATGCTGCGAAGGGCTGACATCCTGTGTTATGTACACGTAGTACAATGACATAAAACGAGTTTGAGGGTTTAGCTCAAGAAGCTTCTCAAAGTTTTCGATTACCAGTGGGTTCATAACTTCACAACGGGTGAGGAGCCTGAGGGACAATTCCGAAAACCGATCCGATAGTGGCAACATGCCCGCCAACACTTCGAGACTCATCGTATGAGTCGAGTGCATGCATCCTAACGCGATACGAAGACAACGATACTGGATACGTTCCAGTTTGATGATGTGAGTTTTAGCCGCCGATTGGAAGCAAAAACTACCGTACTCTAAAACCGATAAAATCGTTGTCCGGTACAACGTTAGAAGATCTTGCGGATGGGCTCCCCACCACGTTCCGGTAATTGTTCGGAGAAAATTGATCCTTTGTTGGCATTTCCGCTTCAGATACTCAATGTGGGATCTCCAGGTGCATTTAGAATCGAACCAGACCCCAAGATATTTGAAAGACATGGAATGAGTGATCGGCTTACCCAAAAGTTGAAGCTTCGGTTGTGCTGGGCTATGCTTCCTAGAAAAAACGACCAACTCAGTTTTCTCCGTGGAGAATTCGATACCTAGCTGAATAGCCCAAGTAGACAAATTGTCTAAGGTATCCTGTAAGGGTCCTTGCAGGTCGGCCTCTCTGGGTCCTGTCATAGACACTACTCCGTCATCTGCAAGTTGTCTCAACGTGCAGTTGTCCCTTAGACAATTGTCAATTTCTCTGACGTAGAAATTATACAGAAGGGGGCTTAAACATGAGCCCTGGGGGAGGCCCATGTAGCTAAATCGTGAAGCTGTAGAGTTTCCATGAGAAAAGCTCATATGTTTCTCTGACAGCAAATTGTACAAAAAGTTATTAATTAATGGAGAAAGGCCACAAGCGTGGAGTTTGTCTGAAAGGACTTCAACCGATACTGAATCAAAAGCCCCCTTAATATCCAAGAAGACAGAAGCCATTTGCTCTTTATTAGCAAAAGCCAACTGAATTTCAGTGGAAAGCAACGCGAGACAGTCGTTCGTTCCCTTGCCCCTACGGAAACCAAATTGAGTATCTGAGAGTAGGTGGTTCAACTCAACCCATTTGTCCAGGCGAAAAAGGATCATTTTCTCCAACAATTTTCGAATACACGATAACATCGCAATGGGACGATACGAGTTGTGATCTGACGCGGGTTTTCCAGGCTTTTTAATGGCTATAACTCTCACCCGCCTCCAATCATCCGGAACAATATTAAGCTCCAAGAACTGACCAAACAAGTTCAACATGCGCCTCTTAGCGACGTCTGGGAGGTTCTTCAACAAGTTGAACTTGATTCTATCAGCTCCCGGAGCCGAATTGCCACACGAAAGGAGCGCGAGTGAGAGCTCCAGCATTGAAAAAGGCTGGCTGATCTCGTCTACCGAATTCGTCGTTTCGCGAGGAATCATCTGTGCCGGCACAGAATCAGGACATACTTTTCGCGCGAACTTGAGAATCCAACTATCCGAGTACTCCTCACTCTCGTTGTGTGAAGACCGGTTACGCATCCTTCGCGCCGCATTCCAAAGCGTATTCATCGACGTTTCGCGAGATAATCCGTCCACGAATTGCCGCCAGTATCCGCGTTTCTTGGCTTTGATGAGGCTCTTGAGTTCGCGTTCAAGAAAGACGATGTAATTGTGTACATTTATTTTATTTTTGGTGAGCACTACGGGTTCAATTATTGTGTCATTCTTATGGTGCAATATTGAAAACTTGGGGAAAATTTAATGGTAATTTGGAGAATTCATAAATAATGTATCAGGATTAGATCATCTAAAATTTCAAAAGTTCAATAGCCGAGTCCCATATTTAGCACTATGCAACACGATTTTCAATTACATTTTTTTGACATATTTGAAAGCCTTATGATCTTTTGAGTTAATCACTAGAAAATACATTTTATTTTCCTGATCCACCATTTTGTAATGGATTAATTTAATTTATTGTTAATTCTTACGTATTAAAAAAATATCGGACGACTTGTTGGCTTTCTGCCTAACATTAATATATTTATGATTAAAAGATGAAATAAATAAATGAGAAAAAAATAAATACACTACTACTCTGGAGTAGTGGTTAGCATCCATACCTCTTACGCCAAAGTCACGAGTTCAAATCTCAACCCTGGACAAGCCACGAATGACCCAAGAGCGTTAAAGTGACTATAACAATAATAATAATAATAATAATAATAATAATAATAATAATAATAATAATAATAATAATAATAATAATAATAATAATAATAATAATAATAATAATAATAATAATAATAATAATAATAATAATAATAATAAAATGTATGAATTAATGATTTAATTAATTAATTTTTGAAACCTCTACTGAATTAATTTTCAATCAGTAAAACGGTTGTATTAGTGAAACTGCTCACTAATACTTTTTTTTTTTTTTTTTTTTTTTATTATAGTCGCTTTAACACTCTTGGGCCATTCGTGACTTGTCCGGGGGTGAGATTTGAACTCGTGACTTTGACGTGAGAGGTAAGGATGTTAACCACTACGGTGGTAGAGAACTCTATTGGTTTTGATAAAGTCAACATCGTATACAAGAATGAGATGCGTCGTATAAAGTTTAAGTTAAGTCGCAAAGAATGCAAACTTTCGACCTATTGGCGATGATGCATTTTTGTATCGTACCGTATCACAAATAAACTCTGATGAAGAATAGATTATAATTTATAGATAGTAAATTATAGATTATAGTAAATTATAGATTATTATCTATAGATAGTAAATTATGTCTAAACAAATCGATGAAAATTACGTGTCAATTAACTCGTATATGGTTTCTGCAGATAGCAGAAGAATGTGCACACTAGATCGCATTAGTATTTCCTTCAAATCAAAATCCCATAATAATATAAGGGCATTCCATCTTGTTGCAATTCAAGTTGAAATTAATGCAAAACTATGATCCAAATGGGCTTTTCTCAACTGCTCTTTGAAAGACCGTAAATGGTTACACCTGTCTATTGTGTGAAGGTGCCGTAGAATATAAACCAACTCAAGATCCAATCTTTAACATAATCTAATACTTTTCATCAACATCAAAATCTGTCCAAGTCCAAGTAGGCTTTTTGACGTGCATAATTTATGACTGATATAATCCTCCGTACTTATATGGTGATTCAGTACTGGTTTCTGGATACGAAGGTAAAAGTATCGCAGGAAAGGTT